GGCACGAGTCATAATAGTATTCAATATATTTCCTCATGTTTAGCCAAAAGAATCTCCTGCTTATCCTACTGTATTTTTTAGGAAAAGCTAGGTGTGCCGCCAATAGCGTGTTGTGATATGTTTTCATAACTTTAGTTTTCAAGTTATGTGGTACAACTATTTGTATAGACCTGTTATCCTTAACCTTTTTACATAAGATATTTGAATCTAATATCTATTCTGTATCCTCTCCTTGTGATACTTTGTTTCGTAAGGCATTTAATACCATATCTTTCTTTTGCTCGCTAACTACGTGATATAAATCCCAAATTACCTCTAATTCGTCTTTATTTTCAGTTTGTATTTCTTTTACTTTTTAATTGTCTGCTTTTCTTCAGTTTCTGTATTTCCTATTCTAATTCTACTCAGAGCATCAACATTAGAATATTTTCTACCTGGTCTATGTATTATTTCGAAATCGTAGTCCTGTAGTAATCATGACCATCTCGCTAACCTAGAGGAGGGGTCTTTTAATGTCATTAATCATCTTAATGGTGCATGATAACAACGGAAAGGTTTAATTCCATGCACTACCGCTAAGCATTCCTGTTCTGTAACTGAATAATTTACTTCAGCTTTTCCTAACTGTCTACTCTGAAAAGCTATAGGGTGTTATTTTCCATTTTCATTTAACTGTGATAATACTGCACCTATAGCGAAACCTGAAGCATCTGTGCTCAAGATATACTATTTACTGAAATCTGGGTAACTTAGAATTGGTGTTGTTAATAAAGTTTCCCTTATTTTTTCGAATGCTTCCTGTCTTTTATATGTCCACTGAAATGTTATTTATTCTTTAGTTAATTCAGTTAAAGATTTTGCTAATAATGCAAAATGCGATATAAACCTTCTATAAAATCCTACAAATCCTAAAAATGCCGGAACATCTTTTACTGTTTGAGGCACTGGATAATTATTACAAACCTCTACCTTTTTAGGGTCAGGTTTTACACCATCTGCGGTCACCAAATGACCTTATTTCAAAAACTGATATTTACTTGGTTTAAGCTTTAAGTTTGATTTTCGTAATCTATCAAATACATACCTTAATCTCTCTAAGTCTTCTTCAAAACTTGCTGCAGACACTATAACATCATCTAAATAACATAAACACTCTGAGTCTTGCAAGCCTGATAATACTGATAATTCTGGAATACTGAAGAGGGCATTCCATGAGCCAAAAGGCATTATATTAAACTGATATTTTCCTGAAGGTAACACAAAAGCAGTTTTAGCTTTATCTTCCTCTTCTATCTCTACCTGCCAATATCCACTTTGTAAATCCATAGATGAAAAGTACTTACTCTTACCTAACATATCTAAGGTTTCTTGGATATTAGGTAATGGTTAAATGTCTTTGAATGTTACTCCATTTACTTTCCGAAAATCCACACAGCACCTTAATTTTCTGTACTTCTCAGGGACTAATACAATTGGAGATGTATATGAACTATTCTGTCCTCTATTATTCCTTGTTCAAGCATCTCTCTTACACATAGATTTAGCTCAACCCTGTGTTTTTTGGCACTCTATAGGGTTTCTGTGCTATAGGCTTATTATCATTCAACACTATCTTGTGCTTAACTTTATTTGTACAACCATTAGAGTCATTTTCTCCTATAAATATATCTCTATACTCGTCTAACAACGTTATGAAACTTTGTTTATGTTTATTTTCCATATTTCCTAAGATAGAATCCCACTCTATCCTACTTCATCGTACCTGTTTCTTAGCACTAGTAACATTATGCTGTCCTTCTGCCGCTAATTGTTCTCTACTACTAGCCTTACCTACTACTATTACTTTTTCTTCATTTACATATAACACTTTTATAGGCACTGTGTCTCACTCGGGCACTTTACTAATAATACAAGCAGCTATATAAACTCCTGTTTCTTCTATTTCAATAGGCTCAAATAACACTTATTCATTATACTTAAAGTCATTTACTTTAGTTTTAACAATAAATTGACTTCTTGCAGGTACTTCAGTTACTTTAACTAATCTTACAGGTACTCTTTCTTTCAATCACTCCTGTTGGGATGCTCTGCTTCCTATGCTAGGCATAAGTGTAAAGTCTGAGGGGTTTGAATTACTATTTTCTTGCTTTAAAATCTTATTTGCTAACTTGCTTTGCCTTGTCTTACTATAGCTCACCTTATTTTTATGACTACTGCTGGATTTAGAGTTTTTCTGTGCACTCTTATTCCCTGGCTTACCTTTAAAACACTTCTTATTCTTACTTCTCCGACTTTCTCGAGTAGCGCTACACTCTAGAAGGTCAGTGCTTTCATGTTTTGACTGTTGATCATTAGCCTTGCTAATGCTAGCGTTAGGCATCTCACTATTAACTTTAGCTAGCGGGAAGGTATGATGTGTCTCAACTGTTGCACATAAGTCTGAAAGTTCAAGTCCTTCAAAACTTAAGATTTCCGTTTCTATGCGTAGCTGTCCAAAGTAAGAGATATTTCAGCGTCATAAGCCCCTTAAGAAATCTTGCCTTATGATACCATCTATTTTTAAGTCCATCTGCTTACAGATGTAAAAGGAGTGATCTAACTCTAACTTTCCTACTTTTATATGCACACTATACCTAGTGTTTCATCAGGATGTCCTGTTATAGAAGTTCAAATATTTCTAGAAACTTCATTCCAAGCATTATTTAACAATGCCGGATTTTTATCTACCAGTTCTGCACTTACGAGTGAAGATCGAGCACCTGTATCAACCAATAACCAACATACTATACCTTCTATTTCTGCCACAACTATTGGTGATACTTCACTAACACTATGAACACTCAATCTTTTATCCCAAACTGCCGGAACTACCTCCACTTTCGCTCTGTAATCTCGGCGAGGATTACGTTTTTTGACTCTAAGGTAAATGTAGAGCTACTGTTATTTCTTGGGAAATTTCCTCTGTAAGCTCCAGCCTTTTCTGTTTTCTACCTTTTGCTGACCTTCTTTTCTGTTTCTGAAAGCAGTTCTTTGCCTTGTGATTAACTTTGCCACAGTTGAATCACTGGAATCCGTTGGGCTTACTTTGTTTATTCTGACAATCTGCTTTGCTAGGGCTATTTACTACATTTACAGCACAATATTTAGGCATATATATCTGTTTTCTCGTAGCTCCTCTCGAGTAGCTACTTCAATCAGATCAAGCAAAGTTGCTGGAGGGGTATTTGCTTCATTCACATAACATCTAGCTGCATTACTGTACAACCCTTGTTCATATTCAGATTTGAAAGTATCTTGTATCATCAACTTGTTCAGGTGTGTATAAGCCCTATGCAATCTATTTCCCGACTCCTTCAACTTATGTCCAAAAACTCGGACAGATTCGCCTCGTTGCTGAGTTAAATTGCGCATTTGTGTTAAAATTACATTTGTTGTTTCTCATTTTCTATACTCCTTTACTAACCTACATATTAAATACTGAAAATATATGGTTTAATGCAGTTCGATTTCAGCCCTAATATAGCATTTTGCTTCTCCCGCTGTTCTTAATCTCAATATATTTGCCTTCTGGGCATCAGTCCAGCCTGATATTCTGGCAGCTTCATTTAAATAGATGCATGAGCCCCATGTGTCAATGTCTTTTGATGCATCTGGTTTTATATAAGAAACATAAATGGAGACTTGTATTAGTTGTTCAAATATACTTGTTAGAAACTGATATTCATGGTGTGTAATTTATCATAAAAGACTAATTTAAACTTATAATTATATGACATTTGCTTTTTAGTCTGAACAGAGCTGAATTAAGTTGTTATGATGTAAGAAGAGAATAAGATATATTTTCCCACTGATCCTGTCTAAACTTTCGACTGATTGCTGTATGTTGTGCATAGTTTAATCTTATTGAGTGGTGAGCGTAAAATGTTTTTGTTGTAAAGTATGATGAACTCAGTGAAATACAAGAATGATACACTGACATTTTCATTTATAAACTATATTAAATATCTTACATGCTGAACTGAAATGAACAAGTAGTAATATGGACACAATGTACAAACATTACATGAAAGCTAATCTAGTTTATGTAAATAGTATATTAGTACATCTTGAAGTTTTGTTAATAAATGTTTCATTAGGTGTGATAGTTATTACGTCTGTTATTTTACTTACATATATTAATAATAGTATATTGTGCTGTGATGAAACATGAGTTTTATATAACAAAATCACAGAACACTGACTTGTAATTCACAATTAATATATATTTCTGTCAAGTGTAAGTGAAATATAATGCATTGCAAGGTAGGGAATCATTGTTTCAAGATCTACGTGAAGAAAATATCTGTTTTGAAACAGGAGGTAACTAGCTTTCTGAGCATAAAACTGAAATCTTATGTGTTTAATTTGCAATGAATCCTTTATTCCTTTATATATGTAGTGACATGACTTTAGTACAATAAATTCATTGTTTGTTTTCACATAATGTTACACAAACGAAAAATATAAACTCTAGCTGAAATAATAATATGGACATAACGTAGAAACATTTATGTGAAAGCTGATCCAGTATCTTATAAGCTATGATGCTTATAGAATAATAGTGTATCTTACAGTTTTGTTAATCAACGTTTCAGTATGCTAATGAAGTCTGTGATTTTACATTGTTGTAGTAATGATAAACAGTAAACGTGCTGGATTTATAAAATGTGAAAGAATATTCACTTGATGTATAATTAAAGCCATTTTAAGATGATTGTCAACTCTGTTTTTCAATTATGTGCATTCGTGAAAAAAAATTTATTCAATGCTTTGGTGAACTAATAAGTTTATAGTTTATAAGTTTATAGGTTATAGTTACATAAAATGAATTTTTGAAAGATATGGAAATAGAATTTCTGGTTTGTCTGTCAGTTTTATAGAAATGAAAGCATTATTTGTTTTAGCCTGAGGCATAGATGTGACTTGATTTTACACAAAGGTCAAAACTTTCTCAACTTACTGTCAGCTGGGATGCATCAGAAGTAGGCTGAAAGAGAAGAAATGTAGAAATGTTCGATTTTCCAAATGGTAAGAATACTACTTATCGAGCCTATCTGCATAAGGTTTAGTCAGCAAGAAACAAGTTCTAGACAAGGATTTGTGAAAATATCTACAGAAAGGTAAGAATAGTAATACTTAAACATAACTATTTAAACATATATTCTTTAATCTTTAGTAGAACAACTCTATTGTTGCTTCATCGCGATCACGTG